TGGTTTGCCAAGCTATCCTCTGCTCTTCTCCGTTATGGCTTCCAACAATCTTCCTCGGATCACTCATTGTTTGTCTTTCGTCATAATCAGATTCAACTTGTCGTCCTTGTATACGTTGATGACCTCATCATTGCTGGAAACACTCCCTCGACTACACAACAGTTCAAAGACTATCTCCATACTTGTTTTCATATGAAGGATTTGGGTAAGCTTAAGTACTTTTTGGGGGTGGAAATTGCTCGTTCTTCTACTGGTCTTTTTCTCAATCAAAGAAAGTATGCACTAGACATTATTCTGGAGACTGGGTTACTTGGCTCGAAACCGTCTCCCACACCTTTGGAAGAAAACCATCGGCTGGCACTGGCCGAAGGTCCGCTTCTCTCTGATCCTGGAAAATATCGTCGTCTTGTTGGCCGTCTTATCTACCTATGCTTCACTCGCCCAGAATTGTCATGTAGTGTGCATACTCTGTCACAATTTTTGCATCAACCAAAAGAGGAACATTGGCAAGCTGCTCTTCGAGTAGTTCGCTATCTCAAAGGGCAGCCTGGCCAAGGAATCTTGCTACGACGGGACAATGACCTTAGATTATACGGTTGGTGTGACTCTGATTGGGCAAGTTGCCCCCTTACTCGAAGATTCATCACTGGCTGGTTTATTCTTCTCGGCAACTCCCCAATTTCCTGGAAAACAAAGAAGCAACACACAGTGTCTCGCTCATCTGCCGAAGCCGAATATCGCTCCATGGCCAACACTACATGTCAACTACAATGGTTGAAGGCTCTTCTTTCAGACCTCGACATTCATCATAATCAACCCATACCTCTTTCTTGTGACAGTCAATCCGCTCTCCATATTGCCAAGAACCCTGTGTTCCACGAGCGAACCAAGCACATTGAGGTCGATTGCCACCTCGTTCGTGATGCTGTCAGCCAGAATCTGATCCTTCCCTCTTATGTCCCCACTCATACACAGTTGGCGGACATATTTACTAAAGCCCTGGGTTCAAAACAGTTTAATGCTTTGCTGGTCAAGTTGGGTGTTCACGATTTGCACACTCCAACTTGAGGGGGGGTAATGAGAAATATTCGGCTCAATCATGTCCACATATGAAGCATATCCAGCCGTATCTGCAAGAGATCAAGGATCTAGTTGCAGTTTTTGGCAGGCATAGAAGTTGTTTTTGAGTATGATATGTATAAATACATGTATCATCTCTCTCAACAGAACAGAAATACACATTCCTTTTACCAAGGTATTAATTAATACTACTATTCAGTGTAGCTTCTGGTTGTGGTGCCCCATGAATAGCATAAAAGCCTATGGCCAAATGAGTACTAGCTCTTTTTCACCTTTCGTTGTGACCACACCCAGTGATCTTAGGAAAGAAAAACAACCCTTCTATAAAAAATCATCTTTAAAAAATGACTTTGAGATTATACTTTTATAATTATTTTACAAGAGCTACATAAATTAAAAGCCCTCCATGTTGAATGAAACTTTGAGTGGCTGCCATGAATAATTGGTATATGTTCTTTTGACACATAAGGCAAGTACTTGGGGTCGATGCTAATATTATTTTATACCATAGAGACAAAAATGCAAAGAGCTGTCACGAATTCATGATCTATACCATATATCACACACCCGTTCTGACAAACACACAGAAAGCTCAGATCAGCTAAAAACACGTGCAACTACACACTCTAGCAGGAAAAACCTTTGGTTGCTTAATGCCAAGGATTAGGCCACATTGTGACAAAACTTGTTATATTTCAGCGCCAACTTCTTGATAGAGAGAATCACGATGAATTCGCTTAGTGGAAGGCTGAACAATGATTCTAGAAACACCTGTCTCACCATGGAGTACTCGGGCACAGTGTGATGGAGTTAAAGGTGCCCTTCTTTCCCATTTATTCACAGATTCTGCCAGAATCCCAACAACCCCGTTCCCAAGCATGATCCTTTTACCTGTTTAAACACACCCAATTACCCCAACTCTTCATGCATGCACACCATAAACTCAAAAACAACACAATCACAAACCACCCAATTCCCTTCTCATAATTACCCTCAATATCAGTAATGGAATTGAACACGTTTTTGTGATTGATTGTGAATTATGATTGAAATTTAATGGGGATAAAAAGAAATCGAGTGAGCAACAAACAACAATAACAGAAGTGGTTTCTTACAAGATATGAGTATTAACAGAAAAAACTAAACTAGCATGAGCAAGTTGTGCAGTTTCTTGCTTTTGGTATGAATGAATAGATGTGAATGTGTCAGCAAAACAACAACAATCATGTAACATAATAAAAACTCTGGAAATGTGGGTGGTGACGTGTACTTGGACTGCAGAGTTTGCCATTGACAAGTAACGACATTCGAAGAATGGCAATTTCGATACTTTTAGCTACGTTTCCATTTTGTGCATCTTTTATTCCCAAAAAGCATGTAGTATCTTTAGTTGTGTTAGCAGCTTTAGGATCAATCATTGCCATCCAATTTGTTATTATGTTCTCTGTTGGAGCGTTGCTTCTATACTTCACCTGCAAATGTGCAATTCTTTTCGCACATGCAAGAAGAAACTGCAAGAAAAGTTCCATAGAACTATCAACTGTTCCAAGCTCCCATAGACAAACTGTAGCAGAGGAATTACCAATTGCACATAGCAGCAACATGACAATGTTTTTGTTTCTTGTTGCTCAAAGGAAACTACATGTTAAAAGATCAATTCAGTTGTATTGGCACAGATACATTTTCTCACGTGACAAAATGATCCATTTCCAAATAATAGACAACTTTCACATGACATAATAATGCCAAAATTTAACTTAGAGGATCAATTTCCTCTTACAGTATTTTCCAAATAAAGCTTAATTTGACTCATGTAATATATCTTTTTCTTTCATTACAATTGCATGCAGTCAAGTGCAAACATATCTGAGAATGCTACTTATTTCACTAGTTGTTGTTCAAGTCCTTCCTTGCTTTGTTTTGGTATGCAATCTTTCAATTTTTGCCTTTGATTGAGCATGGTGCAGAATTGTTAAGATTGTTAAGCCTACTCTTTTACCTTGAAAGAGAGATTTTTATGAATAATAAGATATCTTTTTATTAATAATATTTCAAAAAATTTAATTTTTGATCTAGCTCATTCAAGTCGGGTCGGGTGATCCATAAGTTTACTTTGAATGCTTCACTAATAACTTTAAACTTCCAGCTCTTACCGTATATTTCAAATTGGAGACATTTTTTGTGCCCCGCGTTATGTTTTGATTGAATTTGTATATTACTAATTGCATATGAATTTCGGAAGATCAAAGTTACGATGCTCTTCTTATTTTTGTTAAAAGTAAAATGCTAACTTTAAAGAATTAAAAGTATATATATATAGATAGTGTTAAATAATGAGTTTATATAAAAGTATTAAAAAACTAGGTTAATAAATTTTAACTTAATACTAAAAGATTATATAACATATTCTTCAAAAATAAATCAAATTAACACTTATCTCATTTATTATTATTATTATTATTATTATTTATTTTGTTGACCAGTATTCTTTAAAGAATCAATAAATAAAAAAATAAATCTTTATTAAAAATTATATGAAGATATATTAAAAATTATAAGAGTGAGTATATTTCTTCAATAAAATGTTTTTATTTTAATTTTTTAATTAGTAGCTTCATTAATATACTAATTAAAAAAATTTATCTTTAAATATACATACCTAATGAGTGTATATGAACTATTTCTGTATCTTTCTAGATAAATTGAGAGAGAAATATATAAGGTAAAAAGAAAAAAAAAAACAAGTATCTAAGAGAATGAATGTAATAGCAAGTAGAATAGAGATGTTTATTCTTTTTATCCGTGGGGGATGAGGCCAGAGCCAAATTGTGTGCATGTGTAGATTGCACTTTGGATTGGATGTTAAAATAAAAATGAAAAATGCAGAGCAGAGACCTCAGTCAGCCACAACATTGTCCCAGCCGATATAATAGGGACAAGAGATAAAGTAAAAAAACTATATTTTAAGGAGTGGAATAAACTAATACAGATTCTTGGCTATATTATGTTAACCTTTTCTCTTTTCAGCCTTAATTGTTTACAGAAAGAATCAAATCTTAAGCTTTACAAGCCAATTCAACCTTTTCAGTTTTCACACAAATTCAACCATCTTTATGGAACTTTTAGCAAACGTGTAATCATAGAAACCGCTTATTTTTCAAAAACTCTACTAACCAACATCTCAAGAACCCAATGAATATAATAAATACTTTTTATTCAACATTTCTTTTTAACTTCTTATAGTGAGTTTAGGAAGAGTTACAGAAAACCTTGGCATGTCATGCCAAATTGCAAGTGCACATGCAGTGGTCGTTTATTGATTTGGAATTTTCCTCCGAGATCGACCCTTCGTGCTTTCCCCTCTTCCTCTATCTACATGCTATTCTTTTCCCTTACCACATTGACAATGAAAGAAAATGCTTTTATAAAATAACCTACTTTTCCCTCTAATATTCCCACCTTTTACATCTCACGAAACGTTGCCGTTTCGGGGCTCACACCCCCCAATTCCCAAGCAAATTGCTTCACTTCACTTTGATTTTAAGTGGGGTCGAAATTAACGGAACCAAATCTTGGCGCTACATTAGTAACGTGCAAATATTACAAGAAGCAACTAACACTTGCCGTGATCCTCATTTTCAGGACCAGATTACAATGAATATTATTTAAAAATGAGAGTGAGGAATTCACAACAACTCATGTGGGATGGAACAATCAACTTTGGTCAAAAGCAAGGTAAGTTCAGTTGCACATTTTTTTAATAAATAAAAGTGGGCAACAAACACTAAAAGGAGGATCCAGCTTTTCCTCCAGTGGATCAAACAAACGCCTTTGGTTAGCTGAAAAATAAGAAAATAGGATCCATGAATTTGAAAGTGGAAACAACATTATCACGTGACTTGAATGGTTCAACTTAAAGTTCAAGTGACCAAATAAATGGGCATGCTTGAAGTAGACATCCTCTGCTGCAGTTGTTGCTGTTCCATGTTGAGGTCTCGGAGACTCAAGTAAGGCGTGTCCACCTCCCCCTTCGCCGCCGGCGCCAAGGTTCCGGCGAGTGGCCCGGAGGATGGCCGGCTAGTGGTGCGGTAGGGCGTGGTGGACCCACTTCTGCTCTCGGTCCAGTAAACGGGGCCTGAAATGGAGGCCCGGAAGGCACGAGCCCGGGCTTGGTGAACGTCGTCGTTTTCACGGGGGTGGGCCCATCTCCATTTAAAGAAAAAGAGGGCGCTTCTCCACCAGCGTTTCTTCTTAGGCTTGTGAAGCTTGGCCCTTGAGTCCTCCTTGGAAATGGGCTTCTGAAGCTTGAAGTGTATGGAGTCTATGGATCTTGACGTCTCGCGCTTGTGCTTCATGGCTTCTTCCAACACCTGTTTTGGAGAATAATGAGAGAGCTGAACAATTGATTAATTGTTGTGTGTGAAAATAGAGAAAGAGAGACCTGAAAATAGTTGATTTGAGGATCAAAGCCATAGTCGCTGAAGTGTTGGGGGTCTGGAATGGGGAAAATTGGGGACCTGTTGGACATTGTGAGTGTGGTGATTGGGTGAGGAAAAGAAAGGGGAAGAAAGAAGAGAAGAGAAGAGAGAGAGAGCGGCGAAGGTGATGGTTGAATGAGAATGAGAGTGGGTAAAGCGTAGTAAATGCATTTCACATCTTTTGGTGCCTCCTATTTAATTCCGCTATTTATTAGTATTAGCTTCCTTACAGCCAAAACTACTCATTGCTTCCTCCACTTCCTGTAACCAACGCTGTCTCTATTTTCTATGCCTTCTTTTTTATATGAAAATGAAAATTACTTTTTCGATGTTATATTACCCCAATACCAAAATATTAAAAAGGCAACATACTCATATTTATAATTACAGCTACTAAAATAACAAATTGGACATATTTCGTGTTTTTTTCTTTTTTGTGTTTAATAATCTTAACTTTATAAAAAAATCAAAATACATTTTTTTATATTCCTTTAAAATTATCTGAAGATGATTTAACATTTTTATTAATATTAAAAATAAAATTTAGATTAAATAAATATATTTGAAAAAAATTATTAAACAGTATAAAATTTATTAGATCGTACACCTTGACCTTACTCTATATTTGAGAGCACAAGTGTATATGATCAACGCATTCCCGTAGATATTTGTTCAGACATCTTTGTCGGTTTCATGCTTTTCAGAAGTTAAGAGTGTATTTCGTATGACCTCGTAAGGTTTGAATTGGCATTATAATTGCTTATAGGTTTTATTAACGGTCGACATCAATTTTAATATATAATTCTCTTCAATTAAAATTTAAAAAACTCTTTTCTTCTTCTTTTAATTCTCTCAAAATTTTCTTTCAAATAATTCTCTAAACACTGCTTATTGAAGAACAAATTTGTTTAAAAATATTATTAATGGACATATTTCAAATCAGTTTATCATAACTTTGAATAATTTTTCATGCCTCTAACACTAGCCCTTGCTGTTCTGATTTTGTTTCTATTCTTATGCTCTCGTTTACAGTTTTACTAGTATTGATCTGTTTGTTTTATAAGCGATGCTGGCATGTTTACTCTTATGTGTTTTTTCTTTTAATGGTTCAAACACTTTTTGTTGACTATTGCTTAATGCTGAAGCACGTTTGAGAAGCTGTTTACGGTGAAAAATGATAATTATAAACAAATAATTCAAAGATCAATCTAGGGACTGGATTTAGGTCCTCTGTGGATTCTTTTAAGTTTGTTGTTAACATAACGGTGAAATGGACGCGTAAATTCAGCAATTTAGCAAAAATAGTGAATATTAAACGTGTATAATTGACTCAAACATAGAAGTTCATTACAGAAAAGTATGAAATAAGAAATGAATTGCAGAAACAAGAACAAAAGCAAACAAACGAAGAAACTTGAATTGAAATACAGAATGTAAAGGTATAAGAATGTAAATATGCTGAAATGTAAACGTACGACTCCTCACAACGGCGAACCGCGACCACCGTGGGTCTCCTTGTAGCTGGTGTCTGGCGTGGTGCAGGGTTTCAGCGTCTCAGAGTGTTTAGGTGCGGTGTCTGGGTGCAAAAAGTCGTCCCCTGTGAAATAGTGTTTTGTAGTATTTATAGACATGAAGATCACCACTATTTTCCTCCTTTTGCAAGCACTTCTTAGTAACTGCCTTCAACTGTTGATGCTCACTATCCACGATTGCTTGTAATCGTGCTGTTTGTTGGGACTGTAACCGCTATCGCCCATGATCTCCTTTGCGTAGTGGTGAATGTTGATAACTACTGGTAACCGCTTTTGGATTTTTCAATACTCTTATCTTTCGAGTATTTCTGAGAGAAACCTAGGAGACTCTTTTAATGTTATGGCCTTAGAATAGTTTCTTCTTGACTTCTCTTTTCGAGCCATCTTGGAGTTTTGAGAGCTTGTCTTGGTCTTGTGGACTTAGAACATTTTCTTTACTCATTTCTGTTTTTCGAGTAATTCTGGAGGGACTTTAGAGCTCAACCAGATTTGTGGACTTAAAATATTTTCTGACCACTTCTTATTTTTCGAGCAATTCTGGAGGAAATCTGGAGCTTAGCCAAGTTTGTGGACTTAGAATATTTTCTTACCACTTCCTGCTTTTCAAGCAGTTTTGGGTGTCAGGTACTTAGAAACTCCTCAAATATTCCTCGAAAAGCCATCAGTTTTTGTGGACTTAGAATATTTTCCTGTCTTTCAAGCAGTTTAGAGAAAAATCAACAATGTGACAAAAATATCCTAAAATAGCTTGAAATATGTTCCTTTTAATTGAAACCAAAGATCTTCCAATATTCTCTTATGTTCAGGCTTATCTTTGACTCCTTCTTGACCCTCAAAACTTGTTGAAATGTAGTTTCTTTCAAGGTAATTTTTAACTTAAAAAATTTTTCTTATCCTAGACAGAAGCACGACGATTATGTTTTCAATCGACCTCAAAAAGCTTAATGATTATTGTTAGATAGGATGGTGATGATTCCATTTATAACTGCCAAACCTGTTTTGGACCCATGATTAATTGGGCCACGGTGGGTTTCCGGTCCATTTAGTTGTTGGATGAGCCTGGTAGTAAAAAATTATTTAAGTTATATATACCTTAGTAGTGTCAAAGTTTGACATTCACGTTACTCTAAACAAACAAAAGCTTAACATGGATATTGTAGAAATTAATTAACATCTTTTAATTTCTGATTCTAAAAATTTTGGACCGTTGATGGACACGTGAAATCCAACTCTTAAAGATAATAACATAGAAAGTGAATGGTTCAGAAGCAGTCAAACTATTATTCCTAAAATTGCATCCATTATTATAGAAGACAATGCACCCTTTTGAGCTTTTTGCCTTCGCCTGAAAAGCCACAATAACAATTGTTGTTTAGTTCCTCTCCACTTGTGTTGAGATTATGGACGACAGCTATGACTTTATTAGCCTCTCAGAGTTCGCCATTTTTTGTCATTTTGACACCATGGATGACATCAATGCCAAGCAACTAAGAGAGGGGTAAAGAGATAAACATATATTTTGTAGAGAACAATTTCTTCAACAGTTGTTCTTACATATAAATTTTGATCAATTTATTACTACCTATGTATTTATTTATTTGTTCACTGTAAGAGGATAATATATAAATTAAGAAATATAATTAATAGTTTAATACCATTGTATATATATGTTAAAATTATTTTTAACTTTCTAATATAATTTTTACTATTATCTCTCTTATTTAAGATAATAGTGTGAATTGTATTTAAGAATTATAGATAAAAACAAAGTAAAAATATCATAATTGTTACGATCTTAAACTTTTAAATGAACAGATAATTTTTTTCCTTCAAAAGTCGACCGATAAAAATAACAGAGAGAATATACAAATGCCTAAAAAAATATCTTCAACTTGATTGGTTTCCGAATCTTGTGATGCTATTATGCATTGAACTTAAAAGGGAACTCAGAAACGCTTGCAATAATATGGTTGGCGAAAATTATTTTTGTATGATTGGAATATCGTTATCTCTCTCAACCAATAACAAAATGATATATATATATATATATATATATATATATATATATATATATATTATTTATTTATTTATTTTTATTGAAATCTAAGTTAAGTCAAAAATAAAAAATATCAAATTTTAAAAATTTATTTTATAAAAAAATATAAACAAACACATAATTCTTATCATCTTAATTTGAAGAGAAGGAAGATAACAAAAAAACTGACAGGTATCTAATGTAAGGAAAGCGAAAAGCAACAAAATAGAAAAAGAATATGAATAATTATTTTTTCATTCAGAATAAATAATTTTTTTTTAATTATAGAGTAAACTTTACTTTAATCTTCAATATTGTTATTATCAATAACTTTAATTTGTTTACTTTACTTCCTGATTTGAAAAATATCATTTATTTTTAATTTAATTTTTATTTTATCTCTAAAAAATTAAAGTAAATAATATTTTATAAATCGAGCAACTAAAGAGGGGATAATTTTCCTGTTTGTTTTTCGATTATTCTTTTTTCCTTTGCAATAAAGTAAACGACGTATAATCAAAGAAACGAAGATTAACGTTTACACTTTACACTGGACAGGATCCGTTTTGGTTAAGTAAGCAAGTTGACCATTGTCTTTGCTATACAAGTTGACCACTGTCCCCTTCAAGTTTCACGTTTGCTTCTATTATTTATGGTTTATACTTAATAGCGAAGATTAAATATTACTAATACATCTACGCAATGTAAAAACTTACAATTTTTAATTTCGAAAACACAATAAATTATTTTAAATATTAGCAAATGTCATAATTTATAATTTTTTGTAATCAAATGTTATTACATGACGTGATTGTATTGAAAGTTTAGTATTACATAACAATTTAGATTAAAGGCTAGTCAGAGCCAAAATAACATTTTTAGCTTTTGTCATTATTATTTTCTTAATTATACTTTAAATATCTAGATTTTATTTTTATTTCTATTTTATTTAAATTTATTTAATTATTTTAATTTTATAATTATTTATATTACATTTTTTTCAAAATTTTATTTAATAATTAATAAAAATATAACCAAAATGCAACGTATCAATTTGTATAAAATTAATAAAGAAGTATAAAAATTAGAATACAAAAGCAAATAAAATTCATAAAATACAATACATTTTCATTTAATTATTTTATGTATGTTTTGAATTTATATAAGGGTATAATAAATTAAAACAAAAATTGAATTAGATATAAATTAAAATTACATTTAAGCTAATTTTATTTATTAAAATACAGATAGAGCATATTTAGTTATGCTAAGCACAAATTAATGTGATCTTTCTACCCCGTTTACCAATAGAAAGCATAATAAAGTTAATAATTGAACAAACAAATAATTTAAACATGGCAAAGTTGTATATTGAATTGGAATGTTTAAGATTAAAAAAAGAAAAAAATAGCCGCGTGGAAAACAGTAAAGCGTGGGTCTGGGAGGGGAAAGTGCAACCCAATTTCCCCAATCTTCGCATTAACGTCAACAGTGCCTGAAAATGTACAAAATTTAGAAACATAAAAAAAAGAAAAAAAAGGGAAAGCGCGTCAACAGTGGCGTCTGTTGAAGATTGACAAGAACAGATGATGATATAAAGCAAAAATGATAATATAAAAACCTCATCTCATCTCATCCGTCAAAGTTTCAAGAAACCCTTCAGAACCTTCCTCACTCTTTCTTCTTCTTTTTATAAACTAACCAAACCATAATCCTTTTTATTCATTCATTAGTTATTATTATTATTATTTATAGTTTATCTTTCTACCTCTTATTCACTCTCTCTCACTCACTCACACACAACATGGCTCAAGTCGAAAACGATGAAGCCACACGAAAATTCAAGGAGAATCCAATCCCCAACGATTTCGATGCAAAGGGTTACAGTCTCAGCGGCAAGATCATGCTCTCCGCCATAATCCTTCTCTTCTTCGTCGTCATTTTGATGCTCTGTCTTCACATATACGCCCGATGGTACCTTATTCGCGCTCGTCGCCGTCACCTCCGCCGCAACCGTCGTAGCGGTCGGACGCAGCTCGTGTTCTACGACCACGCCGACAACCCCGCCGCCATCTCCCGTGGCCTCGACGCCGCCGTCATCGCCTCGCTTCCTGTCTTCTCCTACGACCCCAAGAATCAGCCGGAGAATCCGACGGAATGTGCTGTGTGTTTGTCGGAGTTCGAATCGGGTGAAATGGGTCGGGTTTTGCCCAAATGTAACCACAGCTTTCATACTGAGTGTATAGACATGTGGTTCCATTCTCACGCCACGTGTCCGCTTTGTCGTGCTCCGGTTGAACCCGCGCCCGAAGGAGAGACCCGAGCCGAAGTGGTTATAATGGTGTGTGAACTGGAATCCGGTTCGGGTTCCGGTTCGGGTTCAATGGAAGATGAGAACCGAAACCGAACCGGTCGAGAGGGTTCATGTTCTACTTCTTCGGTCGGGACGAGGAAACCGTCGTTAGTTGGTGTGACCGTTGAGGTGCCTTTGAGGAACGAGAATTTTGGGGACGAGTCGAGTTGCGACTCGCCCTCGACACAGTCTTCGTTTCGGTCGCCGATGAGTCGTATGTTGTCGTTCAAGAGAATACTTAGTAGGGAACGGAAGGGAAGCGTTTCCCCGTCGTCGTGCGGCGGCGCTTGCAGCTCTGCGGCTGAGTCCAACGCGGAACGAGGTGGGGGCGACGAGACTCGGTGAGTCGGTACTGACGTGGCGCCTTACGAAGCGAAAACCTGTTAGAAGCGTGGGTTTGGCGCGTGGCGGCGACTGTAGATGGATTTGTAAGGGGATAGTGGGGACGTGAGTGGAGGCAGTGAGCGGCGCGTGAGGATACGTGGCACGCAGAGGCACAGAATGTAATTTGTGTTAAGCTTAGGATGATGTTCCTATTTGTTTATACTATTTTCTTTATTTTTTGTTGGTTGGATTCGGACAACAGTAAAATACAATACAATGCTTGTACATAGTAAGTGTGAAAACAACTTCAAAGGATAACTCTGTTCTTGGCAATGATATTTGTTTTCTTTTTTATCTCTTAATTAATTAATTTTCTTTTGTGCATGAATCACGTGATTATTTTTTTTTAGTTCTCTTTTAAAATGTGTTTACAACAATAATTAGGATAAGAGTGGTCGATTACATGGATTATTCAAATTTATTAAAAATTAAATTTTCAGTGATATTAATTATCAATCTCTTTCAATAATTTTTTAAAATTTTCACTTATGCAATCGTTTCTTATTTTATACTCATTCTTTTCAAAAATTTAATTTTTCTCACTTCCGCACTTTATAAAGTATAAACTAAAGCATATGATTTTAAACCACGTTCTTTATAAATATCATCATGTTTGAATTCTTAATCTTGCAAAATTTGGTAAGCATTTTAATATTAATCATTAAATTTTACTTTCAGATTAAGGTATTAAAAGCAATATTATCCAAAGTAACTAATAACCCCATTATTAATATGGTACCACAAAAAAAATTGATTTTTTTTTCTAAATATATGCACTGTTTATAGAGTAATATTAACAAGTTTGAATTGGTGAAAGAAATTCTTAATTTAGAGTAAAATGTTTGAATAATGTAATCATCAAATTTTGACCTGACCTTTTACCATTTAATAACAGGAGGAATAAGATTAATGAAGACAATATGTGAACCCATAGTCCTAGGCCAACATCTAGCTAGCAGCCCGATGCTGCTTGGGAATTTATTGAACGCAAATCCGTACTTCCGCACTCACATGTAATGTATCTCAAATATAATTTGTTACTTTACTTGAAGCTAATCATATTGCTAGATTATTAGTATATTACACTAATAGCTCAGTCATTTTTACTCTAACAAATCAGATGCAAATGCACAACACTATTCAAAGGAGTTGGCGAATGGGAATGATATGCAGGGCCTCTCAAATCAGGGGAAGTTTGTTCCTAGTCAAAAGGTTTTGGCGCTGAGGATCAAATTAATTAAGTTCATGGAGGAACACATATACCCCCTTGGAAAATGTAGAATTCAAGATGTAGAATTCTTATAGTTATGGTGAGTATTTGGTTAGAAGTTATTGCTTCAAGAGTCAACGTGCTATTCAAATCAACAGAGATTAGAGAGTAACCAAAACATACATGGACAGGGCAAAACTGACTTCAATGCAGCAAAGCATAAACAGCAATCTATGATCTTGGTGGATATCCAGACTCCTGGTGTTCACATAAAGAGACCACTGACAGTGTTTGGCTTTGACGATGCTCCTCATGGGCATGCAGAAGTAACATTTGAAAATGTTTGTGTGCCAGCAAAAAACATCATACTGGGTGAAGGACGTGGATTTGAGATTGCTCAAGTAAGTTGAAAAATATTTCCTTTGGGTTTGGGTTGAATACCGGGATGTGATCTTTGTTTGAACACTGTTATCCACTAAAATTAAACACTTTTTTGTACAATTAAATTCAACTCTGCTTGAATGCTTGCAGAGCTTCAACTTTCATGTGTCAATTCCTCCCATGGTCTAAAGAGTAATACCACCTTAAATCAATGTTACTGGCATTTTTTCTTAGGGACTAATATTGTAGATACCATAACATAACAGGCACTTGAGTAAATAGAGATAGTGTTAAAGGCTTGAAGATGTTCCTGTTTACCTCACCAGGCACCTTTTAAGCGCAAAATCATGACGCTCATTCCAATAGACTGAAGAGGACTATTCCTCATGTGAACCCATAGTCTTTGGCCAACATCTAGCTAGCAGCCCGATGATTTCAGATATGAGACATCTTATCAGTATAAATTACCATTTAAAAAGTGAACACATCAATAATAGTTTTAAAAATTATCCTAACAAGTATATGAATTATTTGAGCTTTCTAACAGCGAACACTATATCTCCCTTTATTGTTTGAGATGCTTGCTGAAGTACCAAATATATATATGTGTGTGTGTGGGCCCACGGATGACTTGCATTCTTGCAGGGTAGGCTTGGTCCTGGAAGGCTGCACCATTGTATGAGACTGATAGGTGTTGCTGAACGAGGCATGCATATGATGGTTCAAAGAGCTCTTAATAGAAGAACATTTGGGAAGTTGATTGCTCAACATGGTTCATTTCTTTCAGATATGGCCAAGGTATTAGGATTCTCATGAGATTGGGTTAAAAAAAAGAAGCAATTATCTAAGTGAGAAGAGTAGAAATCTGTTTTAGTTTGACTTCATTCGAGGTCTCCGCTTACTTAGCTTCCTTTGTTCAGTGCCGAATAGAGCTAGAGAAGACCAGATTGTTAGTGTTGGAAGCGGCTGATCAGCTTGATAGGCATGGGAACAAAAAAGCTCGGGGGATAATAGCAATGGCAAAGGTAATTGCTGTTTGTAACACAGCATATATTGTCCAGTCTTACGGTACATTTGGATATATAACTTAAGTACTTATTCAATAAGCTCTTTTTATATGACTACTTATGCCATAAATTTAACCACAAAATATATTAGGATAAGCTGAAATCAACTTATTTTGATAAGTTATATTAAGAAGATTTTTGAAATATGTTAAAAAGCAACTTATGGAAGTCATAAGCTATTTTTATAAGCTCTCTACAAGCTATTCTAAACAGACCCTAAATCTTATATTCTTATCATTTCATTTCTGTTGATTTTATTTCAACCCTGCTTGGTATGAGAGCAGGTAGCTGCGCCAAACATGACTCTAAAGGTGATTGACATGGCAATCCAAGTGCATGGAGCAGCTGGTGTATCATCTGACACAGTCCTGGCACACATGTGGGCAACTGCAAGGACATTGAGAATCGCAGATGGTCCAGATGAAGTCCACCTGGGGACCATAGCCAAGTTAGAACTACAGAGAGCCAAGCTTTAAGAAGTTCAACAGTCTGCACCACTAGAATGAAACAGGAAGTTAAATTGCCACCAAGGAAAAAGCATTTATGACAATAGCATTGTTCCCAAATGCTTTTGGAAGCATTGCATAACGTGTATTTGTTCAAAATAAGCTTGCTCACTGTATTCCAGGTTGGTAACGCTTGTATTCTTTGTTAAATAGTATACACCATAACAATGTTGTTGCTGAGAGAAAATAAAAATGATACTGGGTGTGGCAGTCTTGTTCTCATTTACAAACATAAATATATACCAAGATTATCCGTGGTAGAGATTAAAGATGCATGCTTGAATATCTTAACCACGCCTAAGCAAATATGTGAGCCACAACTTGGTGCCTTATTCTCCATGTTTCAGAAGAGTGCTAAATACTCTGCTTCTCCATTCCTCCCATTCTCATTGACACATCTTCACATCATACAACCTCTGCATTTAACAGAAATAATACAGTAAAACGTAAATCAAGAGACCGTAGCGTTGTTAAACTTCTACCATTTTAATGCTTAACTTAAAATTTTAAAAGCAAAACATTTGCTACGTAATTCCCACATTTCAAATGAAAGGAGTAAAAATAAGTTGGGTTGAGTAGGCTTCACAAAGCCAGAAAGAGCTTGAATCAATCTTTTTTAAAATTTGATTTAACCTGTAAGCCTAAAGAAAATTTTATTTTGTAATATATTTTTTAATAAATTAAAAAAATTATCTTTAAATTTGTTAGTAAGTTTAAACTTGTATAAATTATTAATCCCAAGTCTTTAAATAAAATAAAATATATAAATTTATATTGACTTATAAGAGGTTAAAGTGTTGTCACTTAGCAACAGAAGGAATAGTATGAAAGGAAAAAAAAAAGAAGTAAATTTTATTTTTAATTTTTGTGTTTTATTAACCTCAAACTTTAAAGGATAAGTATTCACAAATAGAAATTTTTTTATAAAAAAAATATATAATTATTGTATTGAAATTATAAAAGTACAATAAATATTTTTTTAATAAAATTTTATTATTATTAATTGTTTATCATTACCTTAAGGGTTGAGGTTAACAAAATTTATAATTTTTTTAACAAATTTTAAATATTAAAATAAAGTAAAAAATGTGCAAAGTAAATACTTTTCACATAATTAAAGAGAGATGATAAGAAATTAATAGTATAATGATAAAAATAAAATAAATTTTACATTGATTGAAAATAATATCTAATAAATACTTAAATAACTAATTTAATTATATATGTATTATTACTTTTTTTTAGGTATGATGAAAATAAAACTTATAAAAATATTTTGTTCTAAAAACTGAATGAATGATTTATTTTAATATGAATTTATACTTGATGATATAAATTTTTTAATATAGTTCTGTAATATTAATTTCTAAAGTTTGATATTTTCATTTGAATAGTTTTATTTTGAATTATTTTACTAATGTTTTGGCATGGGTCCACTTACGGCCGTACATCGGGGTTGTCTTATCCATTCCACCACAGGAATTTTCAACTCGCATTCCTCACTCACTGCATGACACCACCTCACTCTCCAATGTTTCGTTTGCCGCAGGTGGATATTGTCCCTACCACAGGAGTACTGAGCCCGCAATGTATATTACTCTTATAATACATGATTTTATTATTTTTTCAAAAATGTAAGTATGATCTATTTAGTGTGCGATACCAGTTAATGACGTTGTAAAAATCACTCCATGCATGTAAATTTTTAATAATTAATTTTACTTTTTTGGTACAAAGCCGAAGTGAAACACGATCTTGTAGCTGCTCATAATAGAATTGCACTGTTTAAAGTAAATAACAAAACTTACGTTGGCAACCATTTGATGATTTTTCTTTGGTTTAATTTGATTGCTGTCATGTGTTGTGTAAATATGTTGATCACATTTCGTTCAACGAATAACAACACGATACCTAAGTTAATATAACGATATAAACACAATAACGGAACAACAGTAAAATTCAAATGCCATGCATGCACACGCACACGTCAAGAACTGATATTGTCACTGAAGTCCATGATTCAAGGAGCCCTTCTGGAGTATATACCCTTTTTAACCATCGTTTTCCCTAAAAATTAAATGCCCAAAATTAGCGAAATGACAAATATATTTTAGTCGATATTGTACACCAAGTTTAGGAGTTAGGTGACGTGCCTGGATGTACATTGCATGGACATGACAAATTAATACACTCCGTTTCATAAGTGATTCCCAACCAATTCCCTTCAAGATAACGGAGATGATTTTGCATATAATTTAGTACGTATATAAATACAATCATGATGACCACAACTTGATCAGAAGCACAATACCCAGAAGGAAAAAAAAGTCTTAAACAATACTATTCTATATTCTTTTTCATTTTTGTTTAGAAAAAGAGAAAAAAAAAAGTTTTAGTTTAGAACTGCACGCATAGAGGGATATGGCCGAAGAAAAAAATGGCAAGGAACAACAGAATAAATATGCCATGGTTGGCATCTCTTCCGTCCTCCTTGTGGCTATGGTGGCTGCCGTGGCTGTTAGCTTAACCCACAGAGGCGCAACCTTAGATGGAAACGATCACCTCCATAGTTCTCAAAGGACCAACGTGGACATTCTTTGCCAACCAACACAGTACCAAGAAACCTGCAAGAAAAGCCTCGAAAAATCATCTGAAACCGCAAACATGAAAGAGCTCATAAAAACCGCGTTCAATGCCACAGCTATTGAGCTTTTAAACCACATAAACAACTCCACCCTCTATCAAGAGTTGGCCAAGGACAACATGACAAGACAAGCCATGGATATTTGTAAAGAAGTGTTGGATTATGCTGTTGATGGCATTCATAAATCTGTCGACACTTTGGACAAGTTTGAGTTAAGCAAGGTGAGTGAGTTTGCTTATGATCTCAAGGTTTGGCTCACTGGGTCACTCTCTCACCAACAAACTTGTTTGGATGGTTTTGTGAACACAACCACAAATGCTGGGGAGACTATGGCTAAGGTTATGAACACTTCTTTGGAACTTAGTAGCAATGCTGTGGATATAGTCAATGGGGCTTCTGAGTTTTTCAAGGAACTTAACCTTACCACAAAGGGTAATAGGAAGCTTCTCTCTCTTGTTGGTGGTGGTTTTCCTTCGTGGGTTAGTGAAGGGCAACGAAGCCTTCTCGAAGTTGGGCCTGGAGATGTTAAGCCCAATGTGCTTGTGGCCCAAGATGGGAGTGGCCAGTTTAAAACACTCGCTGATGCTCTCAAAACTGTTCCCCCAAACAATGCACAGCCGTTTGTGATTTATGTCAAAGCTGGTGTGTACAATGAGATTGTGAATGTGGCCAAGGAAATGACCCATGTCACTGTTATTGGAGATGGTCCCACTAAGACCATTTTCACCGGTAGCTTGAACTATGTCGATGGTTTCCTAGTTTACAACACAGCTACCTTCGGTAAGTCCCGCAGAACTCAGTATTGAACATTAATTGCAGTTGGAGAGTATAAACTTCAAAATTTTCTTTAATTAGAAAAACCATTATTTACTTAACAATTAAAAATACCTTGAGTTTATCTCTATTAATATAAGCTTTATCTAATGACAGTTAAATTACTTATATAAACAATATTACATATCTACACTGACAATATAATATCACATTCACATACAAGCCTCTCAATATGAAAACATATAGTATTAATACTATAATGTTTGAAAAATCCTTAATATTTATAATAACAGCTTAATTTAAGCCACACAAAAGAAACAATCCTATTTCTTAACTTCATTTTTGTTAATACATGATTTTTCTAAAACCCATACTACTGCAGGCGTTAATGGTGACTATTTCATTGGCAAGAACATTGGTTTCGAGAACACAGCAGGATCGGAGAAGCGGCAAGCAGTGGCACTTCGAGTGACCACAGACCACGCCGCATTCTACAATTGTAAAATTGATGGGTTCGAAAACAGCCTCTACGCCCAATCGCAACGTCAATTCTACCGCGATTGCACAATCAGTGGCACAGTTGACTTTGTCTTTGGGGATGCATTTGGAGTCTTCCAAAATTGCAATCTAACGGTGAGAAAACCTTTGGATAACCAGCGGTGCACCGTCACAGCAAGCGGGAGAACAACACCGAACAGCCCCAGCGCCCTCGTGTTCCAAAGTTGCCACTTCACGGGAGATGCTGACGTGGCAACATTGACCCCCAAAATAGCGTACCTTGGAAGGCCTTGGAAGCCTTACTCTAAGGTTGTCATCATCGACTCTCTGATTGACAACATATTTTCCCCCGAAGGATACATCGCATGGATGGGAAGGGCGTTTATGGACACGTGTACGTTTTTTGAGTACAATAACAAAGGTGCTGGTGCTGACACGTCAGCAAGAGTTAAGTGGCCAGGTGTTAGGACCATAAGTTCTGTTGAAGCAGGGGATTATTATCCTGGGAGATTCTTTCAACTTGCTAATTCAACCGAACGTGATGCTTGGATCGTTGATTCTGGGGTACCCTACTCCCTTGGCCCCATTGTGACTGTGACTGCCCAAGCCCAAGCCCAAGCCCAAAGTCCTATACCCACTGTGTTAGTAAAAGGAGAAAGCAAAACGCATGCTTGACATTCTCATGCATCTGTTGAGAAAGTCAAGATAGAGACACGATGGAAAGAGACAAATGGAAAATATAATGAAAATGTGATGCAAAAGACAGACTCAAAATTGAAAGAATAATGGAATGTAAAAAATTGAAAATTTTAAAGTTGGGAAACTATTTGTTCACTCTTAAAGTTATGTACGAGAAAATAAATGTAAAAATATTATTACTCTATTAGAGTTTATGTATGTTTGATTTAATTTATATTAGTAAGTTTTTCCTTTTCTTCATTTTAAAGTATGATTAAATTAAAATAAATTTAATTAAGATAAATTGATTGGCAGAATGCAATATTCAATAATAAATATTATAATTTTTTTATTTACATGCATTTTTTTCATTTAAGGTTCACTGTGACTTGAACTTAAAATTTCAGATTAACCAGAATAACTCTTCTAGGTTAATTTACGTGTTAAATTCATTTTTTTAATATTAAAAATAAAAGTGATTTAGAAAGTAACAAAAGGCTAAGATTTAACTTAAATCAACTGTCATAAAGCTAATTATAATGAAATAGAACTATAGAAGTTAACCGTACCTGCATGTGAAAAGTATAAAGCTTTTTAAAAAATTCCAATACTCTTTAAAACACATACTGGCAAATGAAGTTTGTGTTTTTAATTGGTGAAAGTAATTCTTAATTTAGAGTAAAATGTTTGAATAATGTAATCATCAAATTTTGACCTGATCTTTTACTATTTAATAACAGGAGGAAAAGAACACGGAGGAATAAGATTAATGAAGACAATTTAGTGATTAATAAAAAAAATTAATAAAGTTAACGTAATTAAAAAATTACTTAATTGAATCACATTTAGAGCTTATTTGAATTCTAGTTCAATCAACGGAGAGGAGTTTTACAAGAAAAATCAACAGTTATAAATGAAGGGGCAAGAATTTCAGTACAAATTCAACAGATATTTTTTTTTTTTTCCAATTCTTACAATGTAGACTGATCTCCGTTTTTATACAGGATCAAATGCACAATTAGCTTGCAATCACAAATTCTAGCAACAAACTGATGGCGGGTGTAGGAAGGATACGTGAAGTTTTATAGAATCAAGATATTGGGCATGAAGCATGAACAGAAGTGATTACATTGATTAGAATTCATATTCGTAGTGTTACATGGCGATATTATTACACCAATATGTTAATAAAGTCAACAGCAATAATGATACAGGTGAAAACGGATGAATGTTAGTATTTAGCGAGAACTAGAAGTGAAATGGTTTCATAGCTTAACTAAGACATCTAGCAAATGTCTTCAATCATTTTGGGGCAGTGTGGAATAAGCTGTGCTAATATCAACATTGTCACCCTGCTTAATGTTGGTTAACTGGTTCAACATACTGAGATCTACGCCTTCTCTTGGCTTCGGGAGAGAATTTTATGGCACTCGCCTTTCCAAGCTTTACAGAAAACTTACAATTTGCTGGTGGTGACAACCCTGTTTGACCATGTTTCCTAGAAGATGTGGGAGATTTTTCTCTTTTAGTTTTGTTCTTGTTACCTTTTATAGATGGCTTTTTTGTTGGAGACTTGGCTCTCTCTTTTGACAAATGAAGTTGCACGTTCTCCCGTTTCTTATCATGCTTAAGGAGCCTAACATGAAAGGGATCCACAGATGTGTAGCAGATAGACTCCCCATCAACTCCATTTCTCTGTAGATTGACTTCTCCATTGTTCACCTGGAAATTTGTAGAACTCACATGACACATCGAACTAATGATTTGTTGATAATCTAGTCAATTGGACTCTTCAACGTCCAACCTCATAACATGAAGTACAAGTTCTAGAAATGCACTGGACACTGCTAACAAGGGAATTACCAGTTGAAGAAGAGAAGAAAAACTTCGGGCCACATCATACTTCTCTTGACCCTTGACCAAATCTGAAAAGGAAAGGACACCACTACTGCTTGCTTCGAGGGATAGTTTGTCGAGAATTCTCTCACCATAGTCTTGGATATCAAATGGCGGGTGTGATTCCTATCATACCAAAACAGTCCAGTCAGTACAAACCACTCAAAAGATGGAGAGGATGGACGCCCAAAAGATGAATTCACCTGTTCTTCCAAGTTGTTATCAATTCTTTGTTTCCATGTTGAAACCCTTGCAGCCATTTCAGTTTGCTTTTCAGTTTCAGCAATGCTTGCTAGCAGAGCATTCTAGATAAGGAAAAATGGTTACCAACCATGCAACAATATGTAATCATTTTAGTGAAAGATATACATACTAGTGCAAGGAAGACAGAAATCATACAGAGCTAAGACTCTGGAACTCTTGTGTTCCTTAACGGACCGAATACATAATTATATACACTGTTTGATTGATGTTTGTAATTCATTTAAGTGAATTATCATCCGTTTCACTTCTCCAGACAACCGTAAGTATATGCTTTACAGAACTTAAATTTCTCCCGGTAAAGTTAGGGGTTTGGTAAAATAAATTTATGAATACAGGAAAGTGGGGAGGTTGACACATGACAAGCACCTTTATAGCAGATTTTTATAATAGATAAATAACTAATTCAATACAAGATGATGACACTCTTACCAGGTGAGAGCGGCACAGATCTTCCAAACTAGCCTGAGAATCTGGACATTCAAGATCTACAGCTTCATCAGCCTTGGTATGGGCATCATCAATTTCATGCTGTTAATTCAAGTAAATATTCAAATCATATTAGTTTCAAATAAGTTATTAGAATATATAAATAGTCAAATTATTGCAGGTCCTTTTTCCCAAGTCCTAACCTCTTTACTGCAAGGAAGTAGATCTTCATCCGTACAGGCATTGTCTGGCATATCAAATTCAGGATTTCCACCATCAAAGTCGTTGTCATCATTGTCAGCTTCAGAGTTAAAAAAAGTACCACTGGTTTCATTCACCTCATTAATCATAGATTGCCTAAGCTGCAATTTACATATCACATATTGTATATAATCAGAAGTCATGTATTGGTAAACAGAAACATCATGAAAAGGTACCTTCTCATATAATGTTAGAGGTTGAGAATCCCTCTGTGGATCGTGAACATGTTGTCGCATCTCCCACATTTCCATGAGCTCTGTACTGATAGGACCATGCAATTTTGCAGGTGGAAACAAGGTCCTCATAGCAACCGGTTGTGTTACATTAAAGCCATTCTTTTTTAAAACTTTCACTGCAGTTACAACAGAAAGAAGAAAGTAGATATGTAAATTACACAATTTACATAAGGCAAGTTGATGAAGAATTTTTTTTTTTTTTGGTGGTGGGGACCTTTTCTGAATGGCTTCACCCTCAAGTTGCCTGGTTCATGAGGATTCAAAGGTTTCCATGGATCATCATTATCAGCATCTGAATTGTCTGAATCCCTAGATGCATCACCCATATTAAATCCAAAGTCATTGTTACCAAGACCATCACAAGTAGGAGTGTTGGGCCGAACATTTTCCTCATCAAATCTACAGTTAAGTTTAGGAGAGAAGTTGGAATTAGCACGCTGACTCTTAGCAGCTGATGATCTATGAGCACTTCCACCAGAACGTCTGGGAGAAAGAAAGCTTTTACGAGTTGAGGTTCCTCTATTAGCACCATTTTGAGTGGTACCAGCTTTGCTGCTCTTCAGAAACTGATTAACGGCAACAGCATCAGATGTGTCCAATAAAATAAAGTCCTGGTACAAATCTGTGGTGGACAACTGCAACAAATCATCATTACATTAGCGAATAAAACTATACAAACATCATCATGCAAACAGCTGCAAGCAATTATCATACCAGATAAGACTCCAATTCCCCTCCATCACCTACAGCATCCAAGCAGTCACCTTCAAGAACAACTAAATTTGCAGGAGGTTTTATAAATAGATCCAAATTCACTTCTTTGCCTGTTGTACCATCCAAGGAAATCTTCTCTTCAACTGCAATACATACAAATATCTAAGTCATCTAGCCATATGAGAAGGGAGAAGCCTAGAATGAGAAACATTCTCAATAAACCTATAGTCATCATATGGAGGCCCAAAGCAGCAAGAACCATTTTTCAGAAAAACATGATGACCCAAATTTTATTTTTTTTAATTTTTTCTGAATCCTCCACCAAATAAGCCCAAAATCTTACCAATTTAAGGAGATTTGTAGATAAATATGCTTCACCCCGGTATAGAACAAATCTATTGTGTTAACCTAATATTTTCTAAATAAACGTTAAAACTAATGATGAAAATAATAAATCCCCTTATGTCATGGTTCTTGTTTGATCATTTAGTCATATTCTCCATTAAATAGAGTACCTGGGACGTCATCTAAGCCCCAGAATTGATCGTTTTCTTCATCAACAATGGCATGGGGACCACATTCTTCTGGTTGGACTGATGACCCATCTATATGATCTTGCTGTCTGCCTCAAAAAAAAAAAACAGTCAGATCAAACAGTTCTATCCACTTATTTAGTTTCCATAAACTGAAATTAAAAAATTGGTCAAAACACATTATTTCCTATTTTATGTCACTTAAAATCTGTTGTTATTTTCGTCAAATATCAATACTCCAAAAAGCTTAAGTTGTTAAGTGAAGGAGCATGGTCGGTTTCATATCTCTAACATGCCCAGCACATAGGGCTCAAAACATGGGCAGTGCATGGGTAACTACTTCATGCTGAAATTCAAACTTTTCATTTAGAAGAATGGAGGTGGAGTTGATCATACTCCTGATCACTTGGTCATAAAGGTCCTGATAACATGTCAGGAATTAGCTCTCCCAAAGCTTCAACTGCTAGGTGAAGGCACGTGATTGGTTTCATAGGTCTTTCAGCCTAACAAGCTCTATTAATAGGATTATTTACAGTCACCTTCCTTCTCATGAAATCACAATTATTGAAAGAAAATCAGTTATCTTTTAAACTTATCCAGCTCCATTGCAGAAGCAAGCTGAGAACATGCAACCTGAAACAATGGTTTACAATTTTATAAAAAGCAAATATTCAGATACGACGTCAATAGACTAGTATAATATGAACTGAACTTACACTTACATACACTTTGGTTGGAAGAGAATGGAGGGGAGGAAAATGAGGTGGCTAAATGCCTAAATCCCTCTCCCACAATATTGGGAAATTATATTTTTCCTCACATTCCTTCCCCTCATTTGAACCAAATAGATGGTTAGAGTCCACCCTCCAAGATTAAGTAACAAGAAAGGAGCCAAGTATCAAAAGACTAATCCATGACACATTGATTGTTTTGTCCTTTTGAAACAAACTATGGTACTTGAGAATCTCCATTTATGAAATATTGATCCCTGGTCATTCATTGCTTGTGTTTGTAGTTTATGCTACATATTATATATTCGATAATTTAACTTGCATTTACCACAAGTGGTATATTAGCTGTTTCAGATAGATAGGAAAGGCACGAACAAACTGTTGCCACTGATATGTAATAAAAAAATGGTGAAGTTCTAACATTGAATCAGGCAATTCTACTTTTTTTTTTCGCGCCTAATACCAATGTTTATTAGTACCAAATGGGAACTTCAAAATGGGCATTGGCCCCTTCATTCTACTTCTCCACCAAACAGGAGAGAGCTGCAGATTATAAAATAAAATGCAGATAAATTCTGAAAATTTAACTCAAAAATCAAACCTTTTCTGAGAAAGATACTCCAAAGCACGTAACACCAACGTGTAGAGATATTCCACCTTCCGACTATACACCTGTATGGAACCCTGAAGCAGCAGAGCAGCTACAATTACCCAGAAACAGTTACTTCAGTTGAAGAATTGAACATAGGGCTTGAACATCAAATTCAATTTTTTAATGGCAAAAGTGTGAAATGTATCAAACCTTCGGCAAAATTTACTGGAATATGGCCTTCTTCTTCTCCGGTAATCTCGCCGGAGCAAATTTTTAGCAGATACTCCTCAAGTTTCTTGGCGAGGTCAACTTCCCAGTTAGATTCTAGGTCACGCTCCGCGTGAACCGCGTGGAAGCCACCGCCGCCACTTCCCCCAGGTTCCGAAGTATCTTTAGTCATATTCAATGGGCAAAATCACTAAGCAAATCATAGTAATGTCAGCAACTTTCGATACCAAGAAACAAAATGGAGAAAAAAAAAACCCTAGGGTTTCAATTTTCCGGCGAGGAGTTAAAGAACTCCGAAAACGGAAAACAGGATTTTAAAATCCCCCAGGAAACGCAAAATGGGGTGTTGACAAGTTCGAAGCTTTGTGGTATGCAGAGAAAATGGCTAGAGCGGCAACCAAGCGAAGAGAGAGAGGGAGATGGTTCGAAGGAGAGAGAAAGACTTTCAAAACTTTTCGATTTGTTTTTCCCGCACAAATCAAAGCTAATTGGGCCTGATCTTTAGCCCAATAAATCACATGATCTCTATATCAAGGATAATGTGACTAAGAAAAATTTATATGTTGACCAAAAAAGATTAAAAACAAACAGTTACATGAAGGAGTAATCTGCAGTTATTTACTTATTTTCTTCCTCTTTTACTTATTTACTCAAGAGTATGATTGGTTTGACATTAGCATTCCTCATAATCACATTTCATTTATTTTAACATGATTGTATAAAAAATATATTAACATTTGGTTATAAATTTGTCCTTAAAATTACCCTGAGTCAATATGATAAATTTAAAAATATGTGTTTTAAAGAGTATTGGAATTTTTTAAAAAGCTTTATACTTTTCACATGCAGGTACGGTTAACTTCTATAGTTCTATTTCATTATAATTAGCTTTATGACAGTTGATTTAAGTTAAATCTTAGCCTTTTGTTACTTTCTAAATCACTTTTATTTTTAATATTAAAAAAATGAATTTAACACGTAAATTAACCTAGAAGAGTTATTCTGGTTAATCTGAAATTTTAAGTTCAAGTCACAGTGAACCTTAAATGAAAAAAATGCATGTAAATAAAAAAATTATAATATTTATTATTGAATATTGCATTCTGCCAATCAATTTATCTTAATTAAATTTATTTTAATTTAATCATACTTTAAAATGAAGAAAAGGAAAAACTTACTAATATAAATTAAATCAAACATACATAAACTCTAATAGAGTAATAATATTTTTACATTTATTTTCTCGTACATAACTTTAAGAGTGAACAAATAGTTTCCCAACTTTAAAATTTTCAATTTTTTACATTCCATTATTCTTTCAATTTTGAGTCTGTCTTTTGCATCACATTTTCATTATATTTTCCATTTGTCTCTTTCCATCGTGTCTCTATCTTGACTTTCTCAACAGATGCATGAGAATGTCAAGCATGCGTTTTGCTTTCTCCTTTTACTAACACAGTGGGTATAGGACTTTGGGCTTGGGCTTGGGCTTGGGCAGTCACAGTCACAATGGGGCCAAGGGAGTAGGGTACCCCAGAATCAACGATCCAAGCATCACGTTCGGTTGAATTAGCAAGTTGAAAGAATCTCCCAGGATAATAATCCCCTGCTTCAACAGAACTTATGGTCCTAACACCTGGCCACTTAACTCTTGCTGACGTGTCAGCACCAGCACCTTTGTTATTGTACTCAAAAAACGTACACGTGTCCATAAACGCCCTTCCCATCCATGCGATGTATCCTTCGGGGGAAAATATGTTGTCAATCAGAGAGTCGATGATGACAACCTTAGAGTAAGGCTTCCAAGGCCTTCCAAGGTACGCTATTTTGGGGGTCAATGTTGCCACGTCAGCATCTCCCGTGAAGTGGCAACTTTGGAACACGAGGGCGCTGGGGCTGTTCGGTGTTGTTCTCCCGCTTGCTGTGACGGTGCACCGCTGGTTATCCAAAGGTTTTCTCACCGTTAGATTGCAATTTTGGAAGACTCCAAATGCATCCCCAAAGACAAAGTCAACTGTGCCACTGATTGTGCAATCGCGGTAGAATTGACGTTGCGATTGGGCGTAGAGGCTGTTTTCGAACCCATCAATTTTACAATTGTAGAATGCGGCGTGGTCTGTGGTCACTCGAAGTGCCACTGCTTGCCGCTTCTCCGATCCTGCTGTGTTCTCGAAACCAATGTTCTTGCCAATGAAATAGTCACCATTAACGCCTGCAGTAGTATGGGTTTTAGAAAAATCATGTATTAACAAAAATGAAGTTAAGAAATAGGATTGTTTCTTTTGTGTGGCTTAAATTAAGCTGTTATTATAAATATTAAGGATTTTTCAAACATTATAGTATTAATACTATATGTTTTCATATTGAGAGGCTTGTATGTGAATGTGATATTATATTGTCAGTGTAGATATGTAATATTGTTTATATAAGTAATTTAACTGTCATTAGATAAAGCTTATATTAATAGAGATAAACTCAAGGTATTTTTAATTGTTAAGTAAATAATGGTTTTTCTAATTAAAGAAAATTTTGAAGTTTATACTCTCCAACTGCAATTAATGTTCAATACTGAGTTCTGCGGGACTTACCGAAGGTAGCTGTGTTGTAAACTAGGAAACCATCGACATAGTTCAAGCTACCGGTGAAAATGGTCTTAGTGGGACCATCTCCAATAACAGTGACATGGGTCATTTCCTTGGCCACATTCACAATCTCATTGTACACACCAGCTTTGACATAAATCACAAACGGCTGTGCATTGTTTGGGGGAACAGTTTTGAGAGCATCAGCGAGTGTTTTAAACTGGCCACTCCCATCTTGGGCCACAAGCACATTGGGCTTAACATCTCCAGGCCCAACTTCGAGAAGGCTTCGTTGCCCTTCACTAACCCACGAAGGAAAACCACCACCAACAAGAGAGAGAAGCTTCCTATTACCCTTTGTGGTAAGGTTAAGTTCCTTGAAAAACTCAGAAGCCCCATTGACTATATCCACAGCATTGCTACTAAGTTCCAAAGAAGTGTTCATAACCTTAGCCATAGTCTCCCCAGCATTTGTGGTTGTGTTCACAAAACCATCCAAACAAGTTTGTTGGTGAGAGAGTGACCCAGTGAGCCAAACCTTGAGATCATAAGCAAACTCACTCACCTTGCTTAACTCAAACTTGTCCAAAGTGTCGACAGATTTATGAATGCCATCAACAGCATAATCCAACACTTCTTTACAAATATCCATGGCTTGTCTTGTCATGTTGTCCTTGGCCAACTCTTGATAGAGGGTGGAGTTGTTTATGTGGTTTAAAAGCTCAATAGCTGTGGCATTGAACGCGGTTTTTATGAGCTCTTTCATGTTTGCGGTTTCAGATGATTTTTCGAGGCTTTTCTTGCAGGTTTCTTGGTACTGTGTTGGTTGGCAAAGAATGTCCACGTTGGTCCTTTGAGAACTATGGAGGTGATCGTTTCCATCTAAGGTTGCGCCTCTGTGGGTTAAGCTAACAGCCACGGCAGCCACCATAGCCACAAGGAGGACGGAAGAGATGCCAACCATGGCATATTTATTCTGTTGTTCCTTGCCATTTTTTTCTTCGGCCATATCCCTCTATGCGTGCAGTTCTAAACTAAAACTTTTTTTTTTCTCTTTTTCTAAACAAAAATGAAAAAGAATATAGAATAGTATTGTTTAAGACTTTTTTTTCCTTCTGGGTATTGTGCTTCTGATCAAGTTGTGGTCATCATGATTGTATTTATATACGTACTAAATTATATGCAAAATCATCTCCGTTATCTTGAAGGGAATTGGTTGGGAATCACTTATGAAACGGAGTGTATTAATTTGTCATGTCCATGCAATGTACATCCAGGCACGTCACCTAACTCCTAAACTTGGTGTACAATATCGACTAAAATATATTTGTCATTTCGCTAATTTTGGGCATTTAATTTTTAGGGAAAACGATGGTTAAAAAGGGTATATACTCCAGAAGGGCTCCTTGAATCATGGACTTCAGTGACAATATCAGTTCTTGACGTGTGCGTGTGCATGCATGGCATTTGAATTTTACTGTTGTTCCGTTATTGTGTTTATATCGTTATATTAACTTAGGTATCGTGTTGTTATTCGTTGAACGAAATGTGATCAACATATTTACACAACACATGACAGCAATCAAATTAAACCAAAGAAAAATCATCAAATGGTTGCCAACGTAAGTTTTGTTATTTACTTTAAACAGTGCAATTCTATTATGAGCAGCTACAAGATCGTGTTTCACTTCGGCTTTGTACCAAAAAAGTAAAATTAATTATTAAAAATTTACATGCATGGAGTGATTTTTACAACGTCATTAACTGGTATCGCACACTAAATAGATCATACTTACATTTTTGAAAAAATAATAAAATCATGTATTATAAGAGTAATATACATTGCGGGCTCAGTACTCCTGTGGTAGGGACAATATCCACCTGCGGCAAACGAAACATTGGAGAGTGAGGTGGTGTCATGCAGTGAGTGAGGAATGCGAGTTGAAAATTCCTGTGGTGGAATGGATAAGACAACCCCGATGTACGGCCGTAAGTGGACCCATGCCAAAACATTAGTAAAATAATTCAAAATAAAACTATTCAAATGAAAATATCAAACTTTAGAAATTAATATTACAGAACTATATTAAAAAATTTATATCATCAAGTATAAATTCATATTAAAATAAATCATTCATTCAGTTTTTAGAACAAAATATTTTTATAAGTTTTATTTTCATCATACCTAAAAAAAAGTAATAATACATATATAATTAAATTAGTTATTTAAGTATTTATTAGATATTATTTTCAATCAATGTAAAATTTATTTTATTTTTATCATTATACTATTAATTTCTTATCATCTCTCTTTAATTATGTGAAAAGTATTTACTTTGCACATTTTTTACTTTATTTTAATATTTAAAATTTGTTAAAAAAATTATAAATTTTGTTAACCTCAACCCTTAAGGTAATGATAAACAATTAATAATAATAAAATTTTATTAAAAAAATATTTATTGTACTTTTATAATTTCAATACAATAATTATATATTTTTTTTATAAAAAAATTTCTATTTGTGAATACTTATCCTTTAAAGTTTGAGGTTAATAAAACACAAAAATTAAAAATAAAATTTACTTCTTTTTTTTTTCCTTTCATACTATTCCTTCTGTTGCTAAGTGACAACACTTTAACCTCTTATAAGTCAATATAAATTTATATATTTTATTTTATTTAAAGACTTGGGATTAATAATTTATACAAGTTTAAACTTACTAACAAATTTAAAGATAATTTTTTTAATTTATTAAAAAATATATTACAAAATAAAATTTTCTTTAGGCTTACAGGTTAAATCAAATTTTAAAAAAGATTGATTCAAGCTCTTTCTGGCTTTGTGAAGCCTACTCAACCCAACTTATTTTTACTCCTTTCATTTGAAATGTGGGAATTACGTAGCAAATGTTTTGCTTTTAAAATTTTAAGTTAAGCATTAAAATGGTAGAAGTTTAACAACGCTACGGTCTCTTGATTTACGTTTTACTGTATTATTTCTGTTAAATGCAGAGGTTGTATGATGTGAAGATGTGTCAATGAGAATGGGAGGAATGGAGAAGCAGAGTATTTAGCACTCTTCTGAAACATGGAGAATAAGGCACCAAGTTGTGGCTCACATATTTGCTTAGGCGTGGTTAAGATATTCAAGCATGCATCTTTAATCTCTACCACGGATAATCTTGGTATATATTTATGTTTGTAAATGAGAACAAGACTGCCACACCCAGTATCATTTTTATTTTCTCTCAGCAACAACATTGTTATGGTGTATACTATTTAACAAAGAATACAAGCGTTACCAACCTGGAATACAGTGAGCAAGCTTATTTTGAACAAATACACGTTATGCAATGCTTCCAAAAGCATTTGGGAACAATGCTATTGTCATAAATGCTTTTTCCTTGGTGGCAATTTAACTTCCTGTTTCATTCTAGTGGTGCAGACTGTTGAACTTCTTAAAGCTTGGCTCTCTGTAGTTCTAACTTGGCTATGGTCCCCAGGTGGACTTCATCTGGACCATCTGCGATTCTCAATGTCCTTGCAGTTGCCCACATGTGTGCCAGGACTGTGTCAGATGATACACCAGCTGCTCCATGCACTTGGATTGCCATGTCAATCACCTTTAGAGTCATGTTTGGCGCAGCTACCTGCTCTCATACCAAGCAGGGTTGAAATAAAATCAACAGAAATGAAATGATAAGAATATAAGATTTAGGGTCTGTTTAGAATAGCTTGTAGAGAGCTTATAAAAATAGCTTATGACTTCCATAAGTTGCTTTTTAACATATTTCAAAAATCTTCTTAATATAACTTATCAAAATAAGTTGATTTCAGCTTATCCTAATATATTTTGTGGTTAAATTTATGGCATAAGTAGTCATATAAAAAGAGCTTATTGAATAAGTACTTAAGTTATATATCCAAATGTACCGTAAGACTGGACAATATATGCTGTGTTACAAACAGCAATTACCTTTGCCATTGCTATTATCCCCCGAGCTTTTTTGTTCCCATGCCTATCAAGCTGATCAGCCGCTTCCAACACTAACAATCTGGTCTTCTCTAGCTCTATTCGGCACTGAACAAAGGAAGCTAAGTAAGCGGAGACCTCGAATGAAGTCAAACTAAAACAGATTTCTACTCTTCTCACTTAGATAATTGCTTCTTTTTTTTAACCCAATCTCATGAGAATCCTAATACCTTGGCCATATCTGAAAGAAATGAACCATGTTGAGCAATCAACTTCCCAAATGTTCTTCTATTAAGAGCTCTTTGAACCATCATATGCATGCCTCGTTCAGCAACACCTATCAGTCTCATACAATGGTGCAGCCTTCCAGGACCAAGCCTACCCTGCAAGAATGCAAGTCATCCGTGGGCCCACACACACACATATATATATTTGGTACTTCAGCAAGCATCTCAAACAATAAAGGGAGATATAGTGTTCGCTGTTAGAAAGCTCAAATAATTCATATACTTGTTAGGATAATTTTTAAAACTATTATTGATGTGTTCACTTTTTAAATGGTAATTTATACTGATAAGATGTCTCATATCTGAAATCATCGGGCTGCTAGCTAGATGTTGGCCAAAGACTATGGGTTCACATGAGGAATAGTCCTCTTCAGTCTATTGGAATGAGCGTCATGATTTTGCGCTTAAAAGGTGCCTGGTGAGGTAAACAGGAACATCTTCAAGCCTTTAACACTATCTCTATTTACTCAAGTGCCTGTTATGTTATGGTATCTACAATATTAGTCCCTAAGAAAAAATGCCAGTAACATTGATTTAAGGTGGTATTACTCTTTAGACCATGGGAGGAATTGACACATGAAAGTTGAAGCTCTGCAAGCATTCAAGCAGAGTTGAATTTAATTGTACAAAAAAGTGTTTAATTTTAGTGGATAACAGTGTTCAAACAAAGATCACATCCCGGTATTCAACCCAAACCCAAAGGAAATATTTTTCAACTTACTTGAGCAATCTCAAATCCACGTCCTTCACCCAGTATGATGTTTTTTGCTGGCACACAAACATTTTCAAATGTTACTTCTGCATGCCCATGAGGAGCATCGTCAAAGCCAAACACTGTCAGTGGTCTCTTTATGTGAACACCAGGAGTCTGGATATCCACCAAGATCATAGATTGCTGTTTATGCTTTGCTGCATTGAAGTCAGTTTTGCCCTGTCCATGTATGTTTTGGTTACTCTCTAATCTCTGTTGATTTGAATAGCACGTTGACTCTTGAAGCAATAACTTCTAACCAAATACTCACCATAACTATAAGAATTCTACATCTTGGATCCATAGCACCGCTTGTCCACCATTTTGTCCCATTGATAATATATGAATCTCCTTGCCTGTGTATGAATAATTAAAAAAATAGGCAGTCCATAGCCTCAAATGTATAATTGACTCAAACCCATGTTTTTTTATTAATTTTTCATAGCATTTACATCAACTAAATGGAAAGACTAAACTCCTGAATTGCTTTAAGATTATGCATAATCCTACCTTTTGATAGAGCACTCAATATTGGTTGCATCAGAAGATGCAACACGTGGTTCTGTCATTGCAAATCCAGACCTAATCTTCCCCTCAAGCAAAGGAATAAGCCATTCTCGTAGTTGTTCTTTATTTCCATAGCGTAGTAATACCTAACATGCAAGGTAATGTTGCAACCAGATCAGACAAGAATGCATTGTAGATAGAGAGAAGTGCTAAACTGATCAACCTGGGAGAGAATCCAACTAAAGTTGGTCAGTTACTGATCAAATATGCAAATCTATAAGTTCCATCTTACCTCCATATTACCTGTGTCAGGTGCACCACAATTAAACACTTGTGGAGCCCAAGTAGAACGACCCATGATCTCACAAAGGTATCCATATTCGAGATTTGTAAGTCCAGCACCCAATAACAACTCATTTGCATCACTAGAGAGATCACTATTGCTTCCATCAAAAATAAGATTTTTTGCCCTTGCAGCACTATCAAGCTGCATAAAAACAGACACATTCAGATTTTTTTTTCTCTCAAAAAAACATAGTAATAGTAGCACCAATAAAAACAGAATTTTAAAAATAATCATAGATGAAAATTGTTTAATAATGCAATATTCCATCTAGCTCTTTAGGCTGAATATCTTCTTAGCTTTCCTGCCAAGATATCTTCCTCGCAATGCTCATCTCTCCAGCACTTTCTGTATCTGTGACTTCCTTTTACAGACATTTTTCATGTACCCATTTATATTTTTGTTATTTTATTGTTGGAGTACTCTTTGCAACAACCTTAGAGCTTAGCAAGCTTTGTCTGGAAGGAGGTTTTTTTATGCTTTTTTTTTTTGGGGGAGGGGGGTAGATTATCTACAATTCTACATTAGCATCCTCATACTTCAATGTACGCAACTCACAAAGCTTGAGCTAGTTGTATACATAATAATAATTCTAAACACATGCATAAGTATGAATCTCACATAAGGTTGAGTTCTTCACATTGAAAACCTTAATTTTAACTCATTCTGAATAGTATTTCACTAAAAAAGTGGGTCATAAATATTTTATTTAATTAGTGATTATGTAATATCTTGTATAATAGCTTGAATTTTGATTTGACAATAAAAAGTAGAAAATGGTGAAAACCTTATATACCAATTACTAGAAGGAAGGAAAAGAAAAGCTTTTGTAACAGAAGAGCAGAATTAAGATGCATACAGGAATCCATAAGTTCCACAAGCCTTCTCTCTTTGCAATTTCCTTTAACTTTTCCTCTTCTGGGTGAACAGTCCAACGTGATTCTGACTGGGCAAGTTTAAAAAATTCATTTTCCAAGGGGTATATGTGTTCCTCCATGAACTTAATTAATTTGTTCCTCAGCACCAAAACCTTTTGACTAGGAACAAACTTCCCCTGATTTGAGAGGCCCTGCATATCATTCCCATTCACCAACTCCTTTGAATAGTGTCGTGCATTTGCATCTGATTTGTTGAAGAGTAAAAATGCCCAGGCTATTAGTGTAATACTAATAATCTAGCAATATGATTAGCTTCAAGTAAAGTAACAAATTATTTATATTTGAGATACATTACATGTGAGAGCCCATAATGTTTAAATGGTATAGCTACCTGAGGGAGGATGGTGCGGAAGTACAGATTTGCGTTCAATAAATTCCCAAGCAGCATCTATAAGGCCATTAGCAAGTACTGCTGTGTGTCGAGCACGCTCACCTCCTGATGCATTGCCCTAGATGGCACACAAATAGGCCACAAAATATTACATCTTAAACTGCAATAACAACAACATCTCTAACAAGTTTAGATACCTTAACCCATCTATTATACACTCCAGCATAAATTGAAGCCCCACGGAACAAAGAAAAGGAAACATAGAACTTCCATTCAGTAGCAGGCCATTTTCTTCCCTGACATCCAAAAATCCTAAGTTAGAAATTTAGGATTCTTTAGTATGGGCAAAGATATAATATAAAGCAATAGCCATTTCACTTGACCAGTTCTAGAAGCTAGATGATGTACATAAATTGCAAGTTAGAGCTACAAATTAACATGGTAGATCAACATATCATACAGATGTCAGAGATATAATTAAAAATTTCCAACAGAACATATGTACAATCCCAATCTCCAGGTTACGAGATTAGCTAGTTATCATTGAACATGCTGTTGGATTTTTTAAATCGTAGATAGATTATAATATTCACATATTCCTTTAACTTGAATATTTGGATGTCAAATATTATGGTGCATATATTGGTATAAACCAATTTGTAAATTGTAATTATGTTTATTTTAGGGCTGTTATAAGCACTTAGACCCATGTGGATTGTATGGTTTCTGTGCCTTGTGATGGGTTTTGCATGATGAGTAGGTTAACACTCTGTTTGTCACAACGAAAAGCCCCTATCCTTACCCTATATGAACCACGATTTCCCAACTGAGCTATGTGATTTTCCACACATATAAAGAGTGAGGATAGTTTCTCACTTCACATACATGAATTTTTCTTTGTGGTTTCAGGATCAATTTTGGCTTTTGCATCTTCATCCTTTCTAGATAACCTTATACGCTAATATTTAGAAACATATTATTGTGCAAGCAGTGTTAGAATTTAATTGATTAGAAGTTTCAATTTGTTGCTAATTTGATTTGAATCTAAATTCCGTCACAAGCCAAATGGTGGAGTTTGCAATCCCTAAGACGATTATCTCTTCAGGTAAGGGTAAACATAAACTTTTTTGATTTATTTCAGTATACCTCATAAATGATATATAAATCTAAATTGAGGCATTTAGTTACAACACTTACTGCTACAGAGCAGTAATCAGCCAAATATTCTGGTAGTGAAGGAATTCCCTCAGGTAATCCAAAAAGTTCCAAACCTTCTTGTACTTTTTCAAATCCAATATCTGCAATATAAGGCTTCCAGGAAAAAAAAAAACACAAAATGAATAAATGAAAATGCTAATCATTAAGAAAATATAAACAAAATGCGGTTCAAAACAGCTATGCTGTGTAATATAACAACACATTTTTATTCAGAAGAATGTCGATATAGTACGTACCATACAGCAATATGCGACATCACACATTTGGTTACCAAGGGTAGACAATTCCCAGTCTAGTATTCCAATTACTCGATCCTGCAGCAGAAAGAAAACTTATCAGGCATAAGAACTGGGTTCTAAGATGCTAATCTTGATTCTTAACACTGACCAAACTCCAAGTAATCTATACATAACATTGAAAACATAAATTTTTGTTTCTTTTAGCCCAAGGATTATGATACTCTTAGTTTGACCATGACCCAAAAGAAAAACCTATGCACTAATACATGAACAAAGAAAAGGAAAGTGTCTAGTCATTACTCTTACAATATTTATCTTACCTCTGTGGGATGGAACACAAGATTGTCAATGCGAAAATCTCCATGAACCAGACCTGCTGTTTCTCCTGAAGAATCTTCGGGAGGGATTTGATGCTGCAGCCAATCAACCAGGGCAAACATTTTTGGATTTCTTGCAGGTTTACCCTCACTAGTTGAGGCAATATATTGCTTAGCCCACCTCTCAATCTAAAAGAATCAAACTATTAGTACAATAGAGTTGGCAAAATAAAAATAATTTGATCCTAACCCCCCTTTAGTGGGCTGGTACAATAGGCAGGGGCAGGCATGGGAGATGGGGCAATGGTGTAAAAAATTGGGCAAGCAAAAAGAGATAAGAGCCCCCCGAGTCCCTGACCAAAGATTGATCCTGGGCATTGGCCAACCTGATGGAGGACTCAGACTTTTTTAAGAACCAAGTGAAGGGTTCAACCTTTTCAAGGTCTACATAAAATTCACTTTCATGAATTTTATGTTACTGTAATAACTGTCTAATGCATCCATGTTCATGTCCTCCATAGAGATACACAATTCATCAGAAGGTCAACTGGCACTCCCTTCTATCCTCATACAATATACCTCATTGAAAAAATAAAAACATGTTCAACACATAACCTTGAGCATAAACACACAGGCAGTTCAACAGTAAACCATATAAAATAAACTACCTGTCTTTTGCAATAATCATTTCGCCGCCCATATTTTCCGAGACCAATTGAGTCCACATTAGCAGAATGTAAGGAAGCTAAGGTTTTTGCAGTTTCCCGGTAAATTTCCCTCCTCCTCTCCGGTGTCACACCCTGACACATTTACACAAAACATGTCAGCAATCAAATCCATAACAATTGAGCAATCACAAATTTCAGTGGAGCAAACAAAGCACTAACTAGAATAGAAATCATACTGGTAGCTTGGGGTCAATAAATATGCGTCCCTCCAAAAATTCCATGATATAAAATGCTGTTCCAATAACACTTGGATCATTGCACAAACAAAAAACCTTAGGAACCGGAACTTGGGTATGAGTGCCTAATGTCTCCAGAACCTGTGAGTTATAGACAAAAAAAAAAAAAAAAAAAAAACATTTTTCAAGTCCACTACTTTTAATTCACTGCCAAAACTAAAATTTTATTCAATACATTTTTTTTTCAAGTACAAAATAACTCAGGATTATTCAACATTCATCCATGAATTCATGAATAGAGAAACCTGAAACTCTCTTTCGACAGCATGAGCTGAAGCCAGCAACATCCCTGGAGGCTTCTTCCTGAGAACATAGCGCTTCACCGAGGAGCCATGTGAACCCGCTTCCAACAAGTACGTGGGGTTGGATTGTCCATGCCCAAACTAGAAGAATAATTCACCACGGAACCCACAAAGAAACAGAATGAAAAATCAAATTTTGATGCAAACTCAGAAAACCCAGAAGCGCAAAACGGCTAAGAATGAAAGAGATGGAACCTGGGAGATGGTGAAGTGAGTAGGGGAATGAGGGAAGCCAGAGACATTGGAGGAGCAATAGCGGAGGGTTGAGTCGATGGAGAAGTGTTGTGCTACGTTGAGATTGGATACAAGGTCAATAGTATTCCTCGCCATGTTCGAATTCGATGTGAGACGGAGTTATCGATGGAGATGAATATATTATAGAAAGTGTGATTTGGTTTTGGTGTGTGTCACAGACAAAGTGCAGGTATATAACTACGAGTTGTAGGCTGGGTCGAGTTCAACTTGCGTCTGAATTGGATACTGTTTTCCAAGTGTTTAATGGAGTTAAAATACCAGAGAAATTAACATAAAAATTGAGATGTGATAAAATAATAAATGTATAAAGATATAAATAATTATATATTTTTGGTGTACGTTGATCTTTTATTAAATTTGATATTTGTTAAAAAGGTAAAAAAGAAGAAACAAGATGGAAAGAGGTGGGAGGAAATTAAGGAGAAAGGAGAAATGGGATGAGGAACTGCCTCTCACTTTGTTTTTGTTGAAATACAAATTTTATATAATAAAAAATTTGATTTTCTTTTATTGTATTTTTATTTTTTATTTTATTAAATTTTTTTATAGAATATAAAAATATTAAAATAAAAATTTATTAAAAAAATATCATACTAAAAAATAAATTTGTTAAAAACTGGTTTTATCTTTTTAGAATTATTTTTAATATAATTTAATTAATTTTTACTCATTCATTTAAACAATAATATTTTATTTATTTTTTAATATATTTCTTTCATCTCTATTTTATCTCTGTTAAAAAGAACTCAAAGGAAATTAAATTCCTATTATTCAAGCTAATTTTGTATTATCATGAGGATTAGATTTGTGAAATTAATTTTGAGTTATCAATTTTATATACTTATCGAATATTTTTATCTTTTACTTTTTATTGATTTATTTATTTATTGTGTATAATTACATACTTTATTATTTTTTATCAGATATATACACCTCATTTATTATTTAACAATCAATTTCCATTACTTTTTAACGATTGCATGTTTTGGATTAATTTCAAACATTTTAAAAAACAGTATATACTTTTGAATAAATTAAATTAAACATTTTTACGTGTTGAACTTTTCTCGTACTGGATATATGTTCTGGCATTTCATTTATGTTTTGCGTATGTGATTTCGGTCACCTCGTAAAACAGTGCCTCAGATTAACAAAAACAAGATGATTACCAGAATCTTTTAAGAAAATGACTTTGCACAAACAAATGTGCATAATATACCAAAAGAAAACATCATTGTCCAAGAAAGTGTGAAATGCACACAACATTATATCAGACGAAAACATAATATTGTACAAGAAAAATTACTAACGACATATTATGAATTTGAATTTACGTAAGACCATTAAATAAAAAGTAAAACCATCTCATGAAACGAAGAGATTAAAGATAAACTTACAAAATAAAGATAAACTTCTTTACTTTTTTAAAAGAAATGGAAAAAAATCAGAATTTATATATTCTCTAAAGAGTTATTTTAGGAAACAAAAGTTTAAAGTTATAATCATTGATTGAAAAATTAACAGTTGATATTTCTATAATTACATACTTTATTTTACATATGCATACATGTAATTATAATTTTAACTGTTAAATTTTCAATGAGTAATGACTATTAATATAAAATGAGAGTTTTTTAAAATATAAATGTTTTTAATTACTCTTAATAAACTATCATTTATCAAGTAATTATTATTTTTTAAAGAAATAAAATGTTATAAGTAAGTAAGGGTTCTTAAGTAAAAAAAGGGGACAAATATATGTAATGATTACTAGTGAAGATGGTAAGGTTGCCTTTCAGTAACGAGTCACTTTCGTAATCTAAAGACAAAAAGTGAGGGCCTCTTTCATTCTTCTTTTGAGGAAACAAAAGTAAGATAATATAAAAATAAGGAAAATCTAAACTATTTTGTGTAAGTGATTTAAGAAGATAAAGGGGTGAGTGAAAGGCATTTTGGCAGGATATTCTTTTGTTCAACAATGTTTTGATTCAATCACAACAATAAAATTTGTTTATAAAAATAGCTATTATCGATCGCCTTAAGGCTTTTGGTGTTTTTCTTTTCTTTCTTTTTTTCATTTTTGATGCCAAAAGCTGTTGATATATTAAATGTTCGATAACTAAGATAATATGCAAAATTATTTTAATAATATACATAGTGTAGGATATTAAGATTTAGTACGTTAGAGAATTTATATGATATTTGAAATTAAATATAAAAATGTCTTAAAAAAATTTGAACAACAATAATGCTGAATAATTGTTTAACATAAGTTACTATAAATTCTATTTGTTGAATAATGTTATTCTGATAATATGTACGGTGGATTTATTTAACTAAAACAACACAAATATAAAACTCATGAAAGTACAACCAACATTGTACAATTATGATTTTAGATAATTTCTACATTGTCCATTCATATGAACTTCATAGAAGTTCATTTACACCATCTCCAACCTACCTTTATAGCATTCGCATTAGTTCCATAAGCCAGGAGAACAAGTGAGCATCATATGGAAAAACTCTATCCATGAAGTCTAAATTTGCTAATTGGCTGCCAATGGAATTGATTTTATCTAAAAAAACACAAGGTAGGGAAACATCATCAAGATAGTATTTAAAAAATTATTAAAGTGGTACTTATGAAAACAAATCTGTCTGTACACGTAGGAAACATCCATTTCATTTTGTTTTAGTGTCAAATTGCAATGGCTTGAATGATAAGACACCCTCCGAAATAGGTGTATTGCACAAACCATTGTTTAGTTTATTCTTAGTGAAGGCGATACAACAACTTTTCATTAAAAACTTCTTATTTTTTATAAATTCAATATCATAAATATATTTTTTAATAACTTTTATTTTTTACTTTTAAATACTTAAACTCAACTCTAAAAGCTAAAATTAAAAAAAAAAAAACACAAAAGAGTTTCCATGAGAGAAATACAACTCACCAAATTTCTAAACTTGAGAATGTAAAACATCTCCAAGTATCGCCTAGTTTCTCTCCTCTCAAGCTTAGAGACATGCTTCCAAAAGCCATAAACACTGGCTAGAGTCAGTAGCCTATCAGAGTATATCTTCCATGTATACCTATAATATCAAAACACAAAAGAAAAATAATAATAATTAGTTTTGTAAAGAAAGATTCATTTTTTGTAATGTGTAGCTGGCAAGAACATACCTTTCATGGATGCGCTTAAGCCCTCCATCAGAAATCTTGTTCCAGTAGCTAGGATCACGTTGACATTGCTCAAAAAAGTTTATTAACATTGTAGCAACTTGATCAGGGTGATGTGGCTCAATATGAAATCCAGAAATGCCATGCTCAATTATCTCAGCAGGGCCACCGTGACAAGTGGCAAACGTAGGAAGCCCACAAGTCATAGCTTCCACAACTGTTAGGCCAAAAGCTTCATAAAATGCAGGCTGCAACAAGTAACAAGAACATGCATAACCATTCAACATCTAACAACTCAAAACATATGTTATTTTTATAAGTAAATAACTAATTTATCAATATTAATAAAAAGTAGTTATATATTATAAATTTATTCTATATTCTAAAAATATCATAGTATTAGATGGTCAAATTGATGAATTGTACATTAAATAAATAAATATATCTATTATACAAGCAATGAATTTAACACAAATCTCACATTAAAAATAATATTTACTAATCAATGCATATGAAACTGGGTCTGACATAAAAAGAAAATACTAATAATTATTTTTTATAAACAGAATTCGAGGGAGGATTATCAATTTTTTTTACCTGCACAAAAACGCCTTTGGTGTCAGCAATATAACGATAGAGCTCTCCATTACGAGCACGGTTCATTTGGGCTTTTATCCAACGAAACTGACCGTGTAAGTTGTATTTTTCTATAAGGTTATGCATTTTCTCTATCTCTCCCATTTCTTCTCTGTCCCTAGATTTTTGTACATCAATGTAACCACCAATTATCACAAGATTCACAAGCTCTCTCAATTTGGAGCTTTTACCAAAGCATTCTACAAGCCCTGTCATATTTTTCACTTCATCAAGTCTTGCCATAGAAAAGATAATTGGCTTCGATTGATCATTCAACAAGCCACTGCACCAACAAAACAAGATATTAAACAAAATTCTTATCTCCCATTAGTGTTATGAAAGCAATGGAGGAATTGTAAGAGATGTTTTGACTTAAGGAATTGCATCTCGAAAACACTTCACCTATTCCATTTAGCAAGTGCAGTTTCAACCAAGGGAAAGATTAAAGCGACATAATAAATGAAACTATAAAGTAGTAAACTTCCTTATTAACTATGATATGATTGACATATTATCATAATATAGGAGAGCAAAACAGGCTTGATTTGAAGTTGCATGATAACGAAACAAATTTTGGTCTAGCTTACTGCATAGCACACCAAATAGGGCATTTAGATTAAGTATTTGTTTTTTAAATTAATTTTTAATGTATCTTTTATATTCCAAAAATTGTTTATGTTCATGCATTACTTACTCAACCTCATGTCTTACGGCACAGGCTAAAATAATGCTTATTAAAATTAGTTCATTCGACACTAGATAGTGATTAACGCAACTGCTATGAATTTTAGTTTTAATTTCTAAGATAAATGAATATTTGACTGAGAAAGTGCTAACAAAATCCAATTTAAAAAACAAAAGAGAAGAGAACAAATGTACTCACATGTGCTCTTCATTCTGTTCAATACCATATACCAGCTTTTCAATTGAACCATGTAGAGAAGTAAGTCTGTTTTCTCTGTCAGAGTATGGAAAATATATGCATTTGTCTGCACCTGGAGACACGATATTAAACTTGGGATCAAAAACATCAATGCCATGAACAACACGATACAATCCTGGAAGAGTAAAGGCAGTGTGACTCTCATATTGTCCAACATTATTCTTGCTGAGGCAAAGTAATAAACAGAGTTAGTGAATAGAAGTGAATAGAAAATTCTATCTAGAAAATCACATATGAACAACTGAAGAAAAAGGTGAAAAACACCAATTCATCAAATACTACAGAATTATGTGAAACCATTCAATTATTTTTTGATGAAATCTTAGTAACGCTTAAGTTAGATTAAAAATCCACTTTATGTGTTCATGAGTATATTTTATGTAAAATGAAAAATAGAAAATTCCCATCAATTTTACTTAACTTTGACATTTATTTAGAGTTTAATTAAAATAGGTGGGAAATTTTGTATACACAATTGACGTCATGAATGCTTATAATACTTTGTGCATGTTTGTATGCTTTAGGGTACAAGAAAAGTATGAAATGGGAAACCAAATTCTCAGAAGACAAAGAAAATTTGTTAGATTGGGGTAGGATGATCTAAATTAAAACACTATACAAAGGATCAAATGGTGATGTAAACTCTAAAATGAAATTTGTTTTAAAATTAAATGAATAATTAAAAAAAAA